CGTCTCCCACACTGTACATGAGCGTGTTTTCCTGTAGAAAGGGGAAACCATCACCTCTTCAGGCTTTTGTGTGATCATGCTGTCAAAGTGTTTTATGGAGAGCCTGATTTTGTGGGTGTGATAGACATGCTTAGACCATACCTATAGGATCATGCTCTGAAGGGCCATAGGGGGATCACCTGCTTTGTGGGTCTCAGCAGGGCTCAGGTGTGAGAAAAGTACCAGGCTGCTCACCATGGACAAGATGGAGGAGGCATTTCTGGGCATGCCAGAACCTTAACAGAACTAATAGCATACTGAGATGGATTAGCCAATGTGTTACGAGCAGGGGTAAGGAAGCAATTACTTCCTCTCTACTTGGTGCTGGTGAGACCCCAGCTGGAGCACTGTGTCCAGTTCTGGGCTCTGCACTTCAAAAAAGACATGGAGAATCTTGAAAGAGTCCAGAGAAGGGCCACAAGAATAATTAAGGGCCTGGAAGACAAACCTTATGAGGAAAGACAGAGGGATCTGAGGCTGTTCAGCCTGGGGAAGAGAAGACTGAGTGGGGGTTTGGTGGCCATCTATAAGTATGTAAGGGGTGAATATTGGGAGCTGGGAAAAAGACTGTTCACTAGGGCGCCCCCGGGGAAGACAAGAAGCAATGGCCATGAACTGTTAGAGAATGTTTTCAGGTTGGATGTAAGGAACAGATTGCTTATGGTAAGGGTGACCAGAATCTGGACTAGACTTCCCAAGGAGGTGGTGCAGTCCCCAACCTTGGAAGTCTTCAAGAGGAGACTGGACAGACACCTTGCTGGGATTGTTTGATCTCAGCAGTATTCTTGCCCAGAGAAGGGCGGTTGGACTCGATCTTTCAAGGTCCCTTCCAGCCCTTAATTTTTATGATTCTACGATACTTAGCAGGACATGCCAACAATTTGGGGGGGTCCCCTGCCCTGAAGAAGCTAGCGGTGGGAGGATGGCAAGCATCCGAAGAAGCTGGCGGCATTAATGGTGAGGGGGAGGGTGGCGAGCAGCCAGATGTGAAGCTGGTGGGGGGGGGGGGGGGGGCAAGCAGCCAGATGCAGGGGCCCCCTTACCTCGGGGGCCCCCTGTGGCTGCAGGTTTTTCAGGATAGGATAGGCTGGCCCTGATTCTTAAACATCTGGGGATCTTTTAATGGGAAATAAATCAAGTATCTACAGGGCTAAGTGTCATTGGCAATGCATAGAGGGTGCACACGGGTACACGTGCACCCCCTGAGATTGGCTGTGTACTCCCTGGAAGCACCAGCCGCGAAACCAGAAGTGCATTTCGAGTTTTGTTGGTTTTGTCGCTGGTGGTTCCACACTCGGCAATTGGCCACTGGGGGACCCCCCTCCCAGTCTGTGATTGGCTGTGCGGGGACCCTCCCCCTGTCGGCCATCTGGTGCCCCCCCCCACACTCGGGAGACACCAGTTGCCTGTACTAAGTGTGTATATGTTAAAGGAGGGGGTGGGAAGGGGGGTCAAGGATCACGCACTCAAGGATCTAAATTCTCTCTAAAGTGCCATTTTAAATGTTTGGGAGCTTTGGACCTACGTTTTTTGGCATCCCTCTGCCTAAGTTCCCCAGCTATAAAACAGGATGATTGCATTTTCCTGTACCACAAGGATATGATGAAGATAAATAAATGCCAGGGAGTGACTACGGTAATCCAGGCTATAAAAGCCTGTGCTTGAAGAAAATCACCTCAGTTTTACCAGAATGGCACACTGCCCTGTCTTACAGACATCTAGTTTATTTAGAGAATTGTCCTCAGCCACTTGGGATTTTCTTTTTTTCTTTTTCTTTTTTGAACACTGGCAGTTTTAGTACACAAGTATGTAGAGACTTGTAGTAAATTGTTTTAGAAACTCTTATTTTTCTCATTCAGGTTTCCCTTGAAGCAGCTGGCAGTCTTGAATATTTGTGTGTGGTACTGCAATTTTAACAGTTCTCCAGGCTAAGCACTTGCAGCATCTGCTTGCTTTCATATCTGGATTAATTATAAGCTAATATTCCCTTCATAACAGTATTAAATGTGAGTTTGGTGCTGTTAGAGGCTACCACACTGGAGACTATCACAGCCCTGGAGGCTGAAGTCGTCTACTTATTCACACGAAATTTGGACAGCAGAGTCCAAGCTTCCTCATCCTGTCCCCTTCAAAACGTCCATAACCTTGAGGAGCTTTAGCGGTAAAATTAGTCTCGGTTTTTCTTGCACAGAACTGGCTGGAGAGGGCCTAATGTCCTTTTATGCTATTTTCAGTACGTAAAGGAGCAGGAACATATTTCTTGTGAACGGGCACTCCCTCACTGGAGATAAAGCCCCACATCCAGCATTCAACACAGGTTGTTGCCAGGGGCAGTTGGAAGTGGATGGCAGTGTGTGCTGCAATTTAACTCTTCTCTGCTTGTCAGGGTGAAGAGAGAGGAATAGAAGCAGAGCTTAATTTAGACCAGGCTGTATATGGCTTTGACTGAGGCCAGGGTGAGGTGGCTTCAAAATAAAGAGGAGCACAAAGCCACCTTTGTACTTTCTACCCACCCCAGCCATTACTGTATCTAATATAGGGACTGAGGCCCCTGTTTGAAACTATACTTGTTCACTAGGAACTGCATGGAACCTTACCGATTCCTGAATAGTTAACCACAAGAATTAATAAATCATAATAATAATTCAAATACTCATGTGAATGAATCATTCATCATTGCCTTGGAAAAATGAATCATGGTGAAAAGCGATTTTACTATCAGGAAGATAAATATTGGTACTCTGGTCTTTTAAAAAAATTCTCTTCTTCAGCAAACTCATGCATGTGCTGAATAATTTGTCTAATTATGCATAATCTAAATAGGAAGCAAGTTCTCATGAAATGCTTTCTCATTTGGTATTGCAAAACCAAAGGGGCGGGGGAAGGACCAAGCAACATCAAAATGGGTTTAATGATCTCTTTTTTAACCTTTTTGACAACAGGACCAAGCAAGGAAACAACAATTAACTGGTCAGAAATTGTTCCAGGCTTTAAGTATTTAAGTATGTCACCAGCTAGTTTGACACGAAAAGCAGGAGGTATTGGGGAAATATTTCCTTCCTGAATGTATGCTACTTAGGGCTGTTGTGAACTAAGAGTATGGCTGGAAGCCAGAGATGGCATCATGTATTACAACAATAAAAGCCTTGATTATAGTATTTAGTACTGATAGAGTACTTTCAATCAGAGGATCTCGTTGTGCTTTGGAGGGAATGGAAGTGGCATTATGCCTTAGCTCCATTTTACAGATGGAGAAATTGGGCCTGACTCAGGCTGAATAGCATGTCCCCAAGGAACACAGATGGCAGCCCCTGACAATATAGTAATTGATTTTAGTGGTAGAAAGGACTGCTAAAAGGGCAAAGCCATGTGACCTTGTGTGTAACCTGGCATATGGAATTGCCCTTGTGGTGAGCCCAGTTCTGGGACTCCCATCTTGAGAGGCTTGTGTCCATCTGTCCAGTTGCCCTGGAGTAACTTCACATTTTGCTCTTTTAATGCAAAGGCAGCAACTATAAAGTGAAGATCTTAAGAGGCTTTACAGAAATGTGGAGTCTCAAGGGTAAATGGAGCCAGCGGCAAAGACAGGGAGGAAAATAAAAACAGGTGTCCTGAGTACAAATCCTGTGCTCTGAGCATTAGGCTCTGCTACCTTATTCCTCAGGGCTTTTCATTTCCTGGCTGTTGTTAAAGCACTTTCCCTGTGAGGAGGAACCTGCTGCTTGCAGAGCTAGCTCCTGAAATGCACCTGGGTACTGGGCAAAGCTACTGGGGGTGGCGGGAAGAGAGAGAGGGTGGGGGAGGAAGCTGTAACCATCCCTCCTGCCTGGCTTTTAGCTTCTCACTTTGGGAGAGAAGGGGTGCAGGTTTGGGCCTGGGGTGGGCAGTGTATGTACCAATCCCTTACCCACAGCCCACAGGCTCTGGTGGGGAGGGTGGGAGTGTTTGGGAGTAAGGTGGAAGCAAGTAGCGGGCTGCTCTGCACATCAAGCTGTGTGGCACCAAGCTCCTCTGCACAGTGTGTGTGCGCATGCATGAGAGATCCAGCTGTGTGTGTGCATATATGATCAAGCCCTGTCTGTGTGTGTAGCACCAGGCTCCTTTGTACATCAAGGGGTGTGTGTGTGTGTAGCACCAGGCTCCTCTGACAATGAAGCTGTGCGTGAGAAAGCAAGCTCTGTGTGTGTGCGTGTGTGTGTGTGTGTGTATGTGAGACCAAACTGTGTGCAAGAGATATCAAGCAAGCTCTGTGTGTATTTATTTGTGCGTGAGAGAGAGCAAGCTGTGTGTGTGTATGTGAGAGACCGAGCTGTGTGTGTGTGAGAGAGATATTAAGCAAGCTCTGTGTGTGTGTGTGTGTGTGTGTGTGTGTGACACAGAGAGAGAGAGAGGAGAGAGATCAAGCTATGTGTGTGTGTGCGTGCGTGCGTGTGAGAAAGTGCGAGAGAGAGAGCGGTGTGTGTATGAGAGAGATATTAAGCAAGCTCTGGGGGTGTCAGAGAGAGAGAGAGAGAGAGAGATCAAGCTGTGCGCGCCGCCCCATTCCTCCGTCCATCCCGGCAGGTGTGTACGTGAGCGCGCCCGTGTGTGGCGTGTGCCCGGCCGGGCCGCCCAGAGCTGGGAGCGAGGGAGAGACACAGACGGCGCGA